TAGACTATCCAGCCAGGCCTTGCAGCTTCAGATATAGAAGATAGTCCAGGATAAATGGTATAGATGATTGGAGTGGAGATACTCGACTAAGATTACACCAGCACAAAAACCATTTCCATTTGGCCAGGTAAGTGGCCCTGGTGGAAGGTTTTCTGCTACCAAGGAGCACCTCCCTCATCTATTCCGTGCACTGGAGCTCCCTTGCATTTAACCATGAAGCTTCCAGGCTGTGAGGTGCAGGGACTGGAGGTCTGGGTGAAGCAGGTGGCCGTGGTCCTGCGTAATCAGATTGGGAAGGAGCAGCAGCGCAATGGGGTTGCTGACTGACAGCTCCAGAGGTGTGGTGTACCAATGTTGGCAGGGACAAGCCAGAGTGAGCAGAATTACCTCTGACTTGTCCCTGTGGATCTTGAGGAGAACCTGGTGGACGAGTGGTATCGGAGGGAAGGCATATAGTAGATGGCACCCCCAGTGCATCATGAACGCATGAGAGATTGATCCCAGGCCGTGTTTTTGGAAGGAGCAAAATGTTGGACACTTCCTGTTGCTCATTGTGGTGAATAGGTCTACCTGGGGAAACACCCACCATTGGAAGATGGAGTGGATGATGTCTGTCCGGATAAACCACTCATAACTATGGAATGACCTGCTGAGGTGGTGTGCAAGCTTGTTGCATGCTCCTGGGATATAGGATGCCTCCTGACAGACAGGGGAGTAGCAGGCTCCGCCCTGCTTGTTTATGTAGAACATGGTGGTGGTGGTGTTGGTCATCACTGCCATGCAGTGACCTTGCAATACTGTAAGGAAGGTCTGGCAGGCTAGTCTTACCGCTCTGAGTTCCTTTATGTTGGTGTGGAGCAAGATCTCGGACTGCGACCACATGCCCTGAGTCTGTAAGCACCCTAGATGTGCTCCCCAACCGAGGTCTGACGTGTCCATTACTAAGGTCATGGACGGTTGAAGCGTGGTGAATGGGACTCCTTCACAGACCATGCAAGGGTCCAACCACCATCCTAGGGTGTCTAGGACTCGTGGTGGTACTGTTACTACTGAGTCTAGACTGTTCCAACCCGGGTTATAGACTGTAGCAAGCCAAGCCTGGCATGGTTTAAGCCTCATCCTGGCATGCCGCACCACATAGGCGCATGCCGCCATGTGTCCCAAAAGGCGGAGGCATGTCCTTGCGTTGGTGGGGTATTGTCTGAATGACGTGTGACAGTGTTTGGAATCTGGGTTGTGGCAGGATGGATCTTGCTTGAACCGAGTCCAACACTGCCCCAATGAATTCTATTCATTGGGTGGGTGACAGAGTTGTTTTATCCACATTGAGGAGGAGAGACTGCCTCTGGAAGGTCTCTCTGACTAACGGGACATAGGACTGCACCTGCTCCCTGGAGCGGCATTGCAGGAGCCAATCATCTAAGTAGAGGTACACTTGTACCTGTCTCTTTCGGAGAAAGCCTGAGACGACTGACATACACTTGGTGAACATTCAGGGGGCTGTTGATAACCTGAATAGAAGCACTGTGAACTGATAATGTACGCGGTTGACAACAAACCTCAGGAAGCTTCTGTGCAATGGCCAGATGGCTATGTGGAAGCGCACGTCTTTCATGTCAAGGGCAGCGTACCAGTCCACCGGATCCAGAGAAGGGATAATTGGGCTCAGGGAGATCATGCGGAACTTCAACTTTACCATGAACTGATTGACCTTGCAGGTCTAAGATGGGTCAGAGACCCCCCTTTGCTTTGGAGATTAGGAAATAATGGTAATAGAATCCCTTCCCCCTTAGCTCCTGAGGAACCTCCTCCACTGCTCCCATGGTGAGGAGCGTGTTCACCTCCTGGATAAGGAGTTGCTCGTGAGACGGGTCCCTGAAGAGGGACGGGGAAGGGGTGTGAGAGGGAGGGGAGGAGCAGAATTGGAGAGAATACCCCACTTCTACCGAATGAAGAACCCAGCAGTCCGATGTTATAGGGGACCATCCATAGTAGAAGTGGGATAGACAGCTCAAAAAATGGGAGGGCAGGGGGGGAAGGATCCGTAATCGTGGCTGGTACACCATCTTCTAGCGTCCTTTCAAAACCCTTGCTTGGGTCCCCGACGATGGCTTGGTTAGGCCCTGCCCTTGGCCTGAGGGAGGGTTGGAAGGTCTATGCCTGGAATTCCTGCCCCTCTGGTGGTAATTATCCTGCCTTGGGCGGGGTTGGTATTGTCTCTGCTGTTTCACCGGCTGAAGCTTGAAGGGCTTTCTCTGGGTAGCAGGTGTGTGCATCCCCAGAGACTTCATGGTTGCCCTGGAATCCTCAAAGCTGTGGAGCCTTGAATCAGTTTGGACAGAAAACAGTCCTGCACCCTCAAAGGGAAGGTCCCACAGGGTCTGCTGAACTTCCGGGGGAAGCCCGGACGCTTGGAGCCAAGCTGTTCTCCTCATGACCACCCCCAATGCGATGGTACGTGCCACGGAGTCAGCCGAGTTGAGTGAGGCTTACAGGGATGTCCTAGCAACTGCCTTCCCCCCCTCGACCAGAGCTGAGAATCATAGAAGATTAGGGTTGGAAGAGGTCATCTAGTCCAATCCCCTGCTCAAAGCAGGACGAACAGCAACTAATTCATCCCAGCCAGAGCTTTGTCAAGCCGGGCCTTAAAAACCTCTACGGATAGAGATTTCACCACCTCCCTAGGTAACCCATTCCAGTGCTTCACCACCCTCCTAGTGAAATAGTTTTTCCTAATATCCAACCTGGACCTCCCCCACTGCAATTTGAGACTATTGCTCCTTGTTCTGTCAACTGCCACCACTGAGAACAGCCAAGCTCCATCCACTTTGGAACCCCGCTTCAGGTAGTTGAAGGCTATCAAATCCCTCCCTTGCTCTTCTCTTCTGCAGACTAAACAAGCCCAATTCCTTCAGCCTCTCCTTGTAAGTTATGTGCCCCAGCCCCCTGATCATTTTCGTTTCATTTCATTCCGTGTCGAGAACTCAGACTTTGACTCTGTGGAAAGTAACTCCTTATATTTTGACATGGAGTCCCATGAGTTAAAATTATACCTGCTGAAGTTGAAGCCACTGCCTCATCAGGCAACGACGAAGAAAAGGCCAGTGGAGGCATAGGGTCATCATGGCCCACCATGTGCTCAGGTTGGTCCTGGGCAGCATTGGTGCCAAGTGGCTCAGCGTGATCCGATGGGACCTTAGATGTGGATGGATCTGGGGTCGGTTCCGATGTGCCCTCTGTAGTATGCGGGGGCGATCTGGATAGAGCCACCTCTGTGGTACGAGGGGTGGTTCTGTCCACTGTGACCATGTCCGGTGATGCCCCGATGTAACGGACCTAGAAACCCTAGAAGGCGTACCGTGGGCCTGATAAGCCCAGGGGGTCCAGAAGGGCCACTGTGCAGCAGGCGGCCATTGAGGCTGCCAGGACGAAGAAGCATGTCTCCCGCTCTTGTCCATGAGTTGCAGGAGCCGTCCTCAGAGTCAGAGGGCGATGATCACGGCGGTGCCGAGGATCCCTGCGCCGGTGGTCGGTGCCGAGAGTAGGAAATTCGAGATTGGTGTTGTGACGACCATGTAGATGAATGGTGCCGGATTTCCCGCGACTTAGACCAGTGCCGCAAGTCCGGTGCCGGAGAGCAGCTCCTATGTTCTGGTGCCTTATCACGGTGCCTGGCGATAGAAGGCGATCGTGACCAGTGCTGATTCCCCGGTGCTGGAGTTCGCGAGCAACACACTCCCTGCATCTTGCTGTCATGTACTGGGCCCAGTGCCGGGGGTGAAGTAGACTGTGAACAGTGCCGGTCTGGAGAGGAAGGTGGCCTCATCATTCCCGGTTTGCCTCTAGATGGCACACGTGTAGGAGGCTTTTCTCTGACAGCAGGGGGCTGGGGCAGAGTACTTTCTATGAGGTCCCTTGCCACCTCACAAGTATCTGGAGTGGAGGGGGCTTCTAAGCAGTAGAGGCAGCGTTGGTGCTTGTCACTGACCGAGAACGAATACGGGCAGGAGGCGCAGACCTTGAATCCTGACGTCTTAGGCATAATCCAGTACCCATGTGTGGGTATGTACTACCCAAACCAAAGACTCCAACAGCGCTGAGAAGAAGGTTGGTGCTATGTATCTTTGTGTGAGGGCATTCAGTGCCATGACTCCTGGTGCCAAAATGCTTGGTACCAGCATGACTGGTGCAGAAGATGACATCTTCCTAGAAGTACTGGATGCAGTGCTGTTCTTGGATTGAGAAGAGACAGTCTGTACTGACTTGGATTTCAGTACCATAGCACTGGTATGGGACTCCAGTGAGAGGGGTGAGTCTAGTAGAGGCATTCTGTCCCCTCTCTGGAGAGGGAGATCGGAAAAAGCTTCAACTGGTAGAAAATACAAGGGGGAAGGATAGCTTAGTGGTTTGAGCATTGGCCTGCTAAACCCAGGGTTGTGAGTTCAATCCTTGAGGGGGCCACTTAGGGATCTGGGGCAAAATCAGTACTTGGTCCTGCAAGTGAAGGCAGAGGGCTGGACTCTATGACTTTTCGGGGTCCCTTCAAGTTCTATGCAATAGGTATAGGTATATCTCTGGTCTCTACACTGGCTGCCCATCAAATACAATTCAGTTCCAAATCTCATTCCTGCAATCCACTGTAATAAGAACTGCTGACCAACAGAGAAAACACACAAGAACATTCACAGAAGCTGGACCTACCCTCGGTATCAACATGGATAAAAATATATATATTTTTTTAAATAAAAGTCTGATTTTTTACTTAAATGAAATGGTTTTATTTAAATATTTTTTTTTTAAATAAATCTATATAGAATTAAACTTTAAATTATGTCTGCCTATATCAAGGTCTAAACTTACTGTGTCTAACTGCAAGGTTACACATACCACATATTATATATAATTGTCAGGGTTGTCCTGTCATGTCTGGCCATTATAGGTCCTTCAGTACTATTGCCAGTATCTTGAACAAGATACAAAGTAAATCAAAACAGACTTACTGCAATAGAGTGGGTAAGATTTTGCAGTCCAACACATAGTCTCTGCACATGGTACTGTCTCCAGCAATATTGCCAAGTGCCCATACTGCCTGTGAAGAAAGAACAAACAAAACACCCTGCTATTATTTTTTTTGACTCAAGCAAGGTTTTCCTTTATAGTGTATGTGTAGGAATAAGAGATATTCTGTGCTAATGCTGACAACAGAGGGAAAATATATTCCAGTTGTGAGGTATGGATATACAGCCAGGCTCACTAACTGGCTCATCTGGAAATACCAACAAAGGGATGTTCTCACTAACAAGGGGCAAAACAGTAATAGCATTTCCTGAACGTTACAAGGGGATGCATTCTCTACACAACCATATTAGGAACAGTGGGAGAAAAGAATCAAGACCCAAATGCATAGCCAAACCAATATTCAGAGACCAAGCCTCAAGAAACTTATAAGTCCCATGGCATATACTCTTAGAAAGAAAGCCAGGTAAAGCAGAACCCAAATATTGCCTACAAGCTGCACACTGGACATATATGGTAGGAAAATCAGGACAGACTGTCCAACAAGCTCTTAGAATGTACTCGGGACAACTTTTTGTTTCAGAAGGTGGAGGATGTAACTATGGGAGGTGGCTATTTTAGATTTGATTCTGACTTATAGGGAGGGAACTCTTGCCAATCTGAAAGTGGAAGGCAACTTGGGTGAAAGTGACAATGAAATTATAGAGGTCCTGATTCTAAGGAAAGGCAGGAGTGAGAGCAGCAAAATAAAGACAGACTTCAAAAAAGCAGATGTCAACACACTCAAGGAATTCCTAATTATGATTCCAAGGAAATCTTAGGGAAATGGGAGTTCAGGAGAGCTGATAATTTCTAAAAATACAATATTAAAGGCACAACAGCAAACTAACCTGATCTGGACAAAAGGTGGGAAGAGAAGTAAGAGACCAATATGGCTGCGCCAGGTACTCTTTTTAAGGAACTAAAAATCAAAAATGAATCACGCAAAAAGTGGAAACAAGACCAAATTGCTAAGGATGAGTATAAAAGAATAGACAAAAACAGAAAGGCAGAAGCACAAAATGAATTATAACTAGCAAGGGATGTAAGAACAGGTTCTATAAATAAATACATTAGAAGTAAGAGAGCAATGTAGGAAAGTGTAGGTCCATTACTTAGAGTAGGAGAACAAATAATGGATGCCAGAGAAGGCTGAAGTGTTCCTTTTACACTTCAAAAGTTAATTGAGACCAGATGCTTAAAATAATATTAACAATAGGGAAAGAACAGAACAGGTTAAAGAATACTTAGATAAGTTAGATGTATTCAAGTTGGCAGGCCCCAATTAAATTCACTCTAGTACTTAAATTAGTCAAAGCAATCTCTAACCATTAGAGATTATATTTGAAAGTCATGGAGAATGGGTGAGATCCCAGAGGAATGGAGAAAGGACAACATAATACCTATCATCAAAAAAGGCGGAAAAGGGGACCTGAGGAATTATAGACCAGTCAGCCTAACTTGATACCTGAAAAGATCCTTGAACAAATTATTAAACAAACAAACAATTTGTTCAGTCCTGGAGTAATAGCAAATATAGATTTGTCAAGAACAAATCAGACCTAATCTTCTTCGACAGGGTAACCATCCTAGTGGATGGGGAGGGAGAGAAGGGGGGAGAGAGAAGCAGACATGATATATCTGGAATGTAGTGAGTCTTTTGAAACTCCCATGTGACATCTTCATAAGCAAACTAGGAAATTTGGCCTAGACAAAATGACTAAGATGGGTGCACAACTTGTTGAAAGGCCATGCCCAAAGAGTTCTTATCAGTGGTTCACTCTGAAGCTAGGTGGATGTATCAAGTGGGGTGCCACAGGGTCTGTTCTAGGTTCAGTACTATTCAATATTTTCATTAATGACTTGGATATTGGAGTGTAGAGTATGCTTATAAAATTTGAGGATGACACCCAAACTGGAAGGAGTTGCAACCACTCTGAAGGACTGTCTTAGAATTCAAACTTATCTTGATAAATTGGAGAAATGGTCTGAAATTAAGATGTTGAAATTCAATAAAGAGAAGTGCAAAGTATTACACTTAGGAAGAAAAAAATCAAATGTACAAATACAAACTGGGAAATAACTGGCTAGGCAGTCGTACTGAAGAGAAGGATCTGAGTTATAGTTTAACACAAATTGAATATATTTGAACAGTATGAGATTGAAGAGACAAAGGTGAATGTCATTCTTGGATGTGTAACAAAAATGTTGAAGGGAAGGCAGATGGGGTAATTGTTCTGCTCTACTCAGCACTGAAGAGACCTCAGCTGGAGTACTGTGCCCCAGTTCTGAGTACCGCACATTAAGAAAAATGTGAACAAATTAGAGACAGTCCAGAAGAGAACAGAAATGATAAGAGGTTTGAAAATATGGCTTCTGAGGAAAGTTTGAAAGCACAGGTCACATTTAGTTTAGAGAAGAAAAGGTGGAGGGGGGCATAGTTTTCAAATACATAAAATGCTATAAAAAGGATGGTTGGTGATCAATGTTCTCCATATCTACCAAGGATAGGATGAGAAATAATCAGCTTAGTTTGCAGCTAGGAAGATTCAGGATAAATATTAGGAATAATTTATTAATTATATGGATAGTTAAGCACTAGCACAGATTACCTAAGGAAGTTGTGGAATCCCCATCATTGGAGGTTTTTAAGTTTAGACAAACACCTTTCCAGCATGGTCTAGATATATTTAATCCTGCCTCAGCATGGGTGGGTGGATGGACTAGATGATTTCTTGAGGTCTCTTCCAGCCCTAAATTTCTGATTCTGTGTTGTCATTAGCAAATGTCAATAAAGGAGATGTGACTTCTCTGTCCTGAGATGAGACTTCTGTCTTTTTTATTTTATTTTATTTCTTTTGGAATGATGCTATCACAGTTGTGAGGACCACTTGTCTAAATTAAAAGCACAATACTGGGTTTCATCCAAGAAAGCTCCCAATTTCATAAACTCATCTGACTGGATATAGTAGCTATTGGGAGGTCTACTTTAATGGACAGGAAGTATAAGGACACCTCTTGCAAGGGTTCAATATGGGTAGGGCTGTAAGAAGCAGAATGTTCTGCATTTGTACAGTGCCTAACACAATGGTTCCAGTGTCCAATCCACGACAGGGGGTCTTAGATGCTGCTGCTATACTAATGAAGAACAAAAATGAGGTTCCAATGTTGTGTTCTATGATCTTTTGGGATTGGTGTAAGGGTTGCTTCTTCAAGAAAAAATTTAACGATGGGATTTGTACCTAACTTCCTTTTCTTGAACATACTGATAATATTACACTGCAAAGACTTGATATTTTGCTTGGAAATGCTTATACATCCAACGTTAAGGCTCTCCTCCAGGAATTTATGGCTATAATTCATTTGTTAAATATGGTAGTTTTGGTTCTCTCCATGGACTTTGCTTCATCCAACAGAATACGTTCTATTTGTTATCTTCTTTTTAGGGTCCATGAGAGTGATAATCACATCATCCAAGTATCCATTTTGAATCATTCTGGTCCTGGATGGAGGACTGGATTTTGCAATAGCAGACCTCTTCCGTGGGACACATACACTTGAAGGACAGATTCATCAGGTTAGAGACTCACAGCATCTTCATCTAGGAAAGCTGTAACAATATTCCTGCCATCTCTTGTTCCTGTCTTTTCCACTGCTCCCCACAACCATACAAAAGCTGGATGGCATATAGCAGAGAGATTGCCCAATTTTGCAAGAGGTCATTCTCCACCACACATCCTGGGTCCTGACACAAGGAAAAGCCGCAGGACACATTACTGCTGTTTCCAGATCACCAGCCCATCTCTAGAGAATCTTGCCCACATGCTCGGGGTTCAGCTGATCGCCATATTTGGGGTCGGGAAGGAATTTTCCTCCAGGGTAGATTGGCAGATGCCCTGGAGGTTTTTCGCCTTCCTCCGCAGCATGGGGCAGGGGTCGCTTGCTGGGCAGGGGTCGCTTGCTGGAGGATTCTCAGCGATTTGAAGTCTTTAAATCATGATTTGGGGACTTCAACAGCTGAGTCAAGGGAGAGAATTCTTCCAGGAGTGGGTGGGTCAGCTTTTGTGGCCCGCATCATGAGGGAGGTCAGACTAGATGATCATAATGGTCCCTTCTGACCTTAGAGTCTATGAGACAACAGTTTTTTAAGTCAAGAAGTGTTGCATCCAGCAAGGGAATTTCTATATTAGATGCCATCTTGACAGCTAAGGAGGAATTCATCGCAGTACTAAAAATTAGTGGTAGTAGTGCAAGTGCAAGTGCAAGTGACCATGACTTGATCATATTTGTTATGTACAAACAGAATGAAGTGCAAACAGAATGAAGTCCAAACCAGTACAGTAATATACAAACTTAGTGTTTTTTAAAGGGCCAATTTTACAAAGCTGAAAACAATTGAGCCAAATGAGTTGGGAGAAAGAATTGAAACAGAAAAAAGTGAATGATAATTGGGAACTGTTTAAGAACAGTTTTACTAGATGCCCCAAAAGCCAATCCCAAAATTGAAGAAGGCCAGAGTGGTTACAAAAAAGAAAACCTGACTTAGGGGAAGTAAAAGCAGCTTTTATATATAAAAGATATATAGAAAAATAAAAAATGGAATGAAGGGGAAGTTGATAGCAATGAATTTAAATCAGAGGGATCGTAGAAATCGGTAATGGAAGCAAAAGGACACAGGGAGAAATATATGACCAGCAGGGTTAAGCACAGTAAGGCATTTAAGTGTATTAGATTAATATATTCTAAGGATAGTAGGAACCACTATGATCATCTCTTCTGACGTTCTGCATAACACTGGCCATAGAACTGCCGCAAAATAGTTCCTGTTTACACTAGTGCATATCTTTTAGCAAAACATCCAATCGTCATTAAAAAATTGCCAGCAAGAATCCACCACAACCCTTAAATTTGTATATTGTTCCAATGATTAAATATCCTCACTGTGGAACAAAAGGAATCCCAACAATGGTACTGGTCTATTACTAGATGGAAACAATAGACACTTCTATTCTGTATTTAGGAAAAAAACAGATA